GGAAGAAGAAGAAGAAGAAGAAGAAGAAGAAGAAGAAGAAGAAGAAGAAGAAGAAGAAGAAGAAGAAGAAGAAGAAGAAGAAGAAGAAGAAACCCAAAGAAGACAGACTGGCAAGCTACCCTAGAATAATGATAAACGAGCAATGGGCAAGACTAACTGTAGGGCTGCATACAGACCGTTAGATGTTTTTGAAAATATTTTTTGATAAGAAATGTCTACCAGGAACACCGGAGCAATAGAATAATAGATCCCTCGAGCATTTGTAGTACCGAGCATACTTCTTCCATGGTTGAGTCTCAACAGTTACCATGCGGTTGCTTAAAGGGCACCACTGTTAAGTCCTACTTCTTCCCGTTGCTGTCTGCCTGTCTGTCTGTCCGTCTGTCTGTCTGTCTGTCTGTCTGTCTGTCTGTCTTTTCCTTGTACCGAATGGCTGTTATTGTGTCTATGCGCTCCTCTTTACTCAAACAAACATAACAAAATGATTTCTGTTGTGGTTCTATTTCAGTTTGTTGCTGCTAATGACAAGCTATGGTTCTGGGTGGAGTTGTTTTCATTCGTGGATTATTTCACCATTCCTCCGTCTTTTGTGGCGATCTATCTGGACAGGAACTGGTTAGGTAAGCAAACTTTTGTTTTCTGTATAACGTATGCGTTTACACTGTTATGAAACTCTTGTTTTTGTGCATGCATTGTTCTGCTTCATCTTTCTGTGTGAAGCTATGCACGTTTGCTTATGTTGTAGGGTGTACACCACCCCCCCGCAAAAAAAAAATGAGATGCAAATACATGTATTATCAACCTCTTACTTAAACGCAATGAGCTGGAATATTTACTGTTGCCTTGTCCGTCCTCCGTGGACGCACAAAATTCCTCCCTATTCAGTTTCACCTTCATGGAATGCTTAAGTCCAATTAATCCTTTCGTCTTTTACTTTTTGGGGCCGTTGAAACTGTAATCTGTCCCCTGTTCACACCTTGTCCTCGTGCTTTCTGCCGTCAAGTTAACGGTGCGTGTATTGTATAATCTGCAGTCTCTGTCGGAGAATGTAGCACTTGCAACATACGCTACTCGGGTTTCTTTTTAAAGAGAGAAGGGGGGGGGGGATAGGGGGCTGTGCCTGTCGTAGAAGAAGGTCAGAACACTTGATCTTTGTGACGTATCTTCGGAATGGAACGTTTGCTTTAGTAGACTTATGGTGCTAAGTGCTTATAGATTAAGTCAATAGACTGCAAATCCCACCAAATTTTCTCAGCTATCTCGTGTGTCCAGTGAAGCACGTTCGATCTGTCTGATTCAGCCTGAGGTGGTGCTCGGTGCTCGGTTTACTGATCGCCGGCGGGACACGGCGACATGCTTTGGTCCTTTGGAAATCCGAATTTGGCGCTGATGAAGCGTGAGTGCGTTGAGATAGGCTCCTAGATTGCGCAACACGGGCAGCAAGTCGGCCGGTCGGTCACCTTCCCCGAGAGAGAAAGAGAGAGAGAGAGAGACAGAGAGAGAGGGAGGGAGGGAGAGGGAGAGAGACAGG